ATCTTTCTGAAGGGACACAATTCAACCCATAACCAATATATTTCAAATTTCCACTAGGTGATCAAGAAAGTGGTAAAAATATTTTCCTATCTTATTGAGAAAAAAGTTCTCAATTTTTGAACATCTTTTTGTCTTGTCTGTTTATTTTGCCTCAAAATAATAGCTCTTAGTGTTGGCTAAAAATACATATCCTGTGAATATTAACAGCTTCAGCTCTTTGCATTAACCCTTTGGTCAAGAAAGTTGATTTGCTCTTAAATTTAAATTAAATAACTTGTTTTCATTTCTACTGGAGAGGTTCATGCCTGGGACTGGGCATAAATTGAAAATGCTCAAGGAAGTGTGGCACTTGAGGTTTTGTGGGGGGAAGAAAGGAAAGAAAATGTGCTAGCTTTATTCACCTCATCACTCTAAGAAAATTCTCAACATGAGGAAAAAACCTAATTCCAGAAAAAATGTTTACGTCATACTTTTAATTGTATCCTATTGCTCCCTAGCTTAGCTCTCCCTTGTTGTTTTGGGTTAAGCCCCCCCACAGATTGTTTTTCTAGTTTCTCCCATGAATGAAAACCTAATCCTTATCATTTACTTTTTTATACTCTTCAGTACTCAAGGAACTATTGCAAAGTATAGCTAAACTCAAATCACTTGAAAATTTTGTTAAATGTGTAAATATGCAGATGACTTTTTTTTTTTTTTTGTAGCTAGCCACAATAACCAATTAGGTTGGTCTAATTAGAACATTTATCAGAACAGTTCAAAAGGGAATTGAATGGAATAGTGGTTTTGATAGAGGAGAGCTTGGTCTTGTCTCACAGAGTCGAAGAATAAATCTCAGGGACAACAGAGAGTGAGCAATCGATAGAAGTTTACTAAGCAGAGCTAACAGAAAGCTCTCAAAAGTGAATGGAGTCCCAACAGGGTTGCCACTGAGGGCTTTTATGGTCTGGCCTTTATAGGAAACTGACCAGGGAACTTCGTAAATTTCTTGTCGATATCAGGGTAGATATTTATTTATTTATTTATTTATTTATTTTTAAGATTTTATTTATTTATTTATGATAGACACAGAGAGAAAGAGAGGCAGAGACACAGGCAGAGGGAGAAGCAGGCTCCTGGAAGCCTGACGCGGGACTCAATCATGGGACTCCAGGATCACTCCCTGGACCAAAGGCAGGCGCCAAACCACCGAGCCACCCAGGAATTCCCCTCAGGGTAGATATTTAAAACAAACATGGTGGACTTATAGCTATCATAATAACAATATATATTTTTTAAAATAACATGAGCACAAACAAGGTGTTCCTTTCTCTCTGGTTAATATCTCTTCCATAACAATTCTCTATATCTGGGATTTCTGCGATTACTTAGTAGCCATTAAGGGGGGATACTCCCTAACATTTTGGAGCTAGGGAGCCAGGTCTATTTTTTTGTTTTTACTATCTTACCTCTTTTCTTGGATGGGTAGGAGCCTGACTGTGAGGCCTTTCTGTGTCCTTGGTGTTTGGTTTATGGGAGCCCACAGATTCCTGGGAGCCTGACTCTGGGCCTTTCCCTTATCTTTCCCTATCTAACCCCATCTGCCCCTAACTCATTACTAAATCAGTGTGATCCAGGAGTGGAAGGTCCATTCTGAATACCACACTCTGAGGATTCTCCCACCAGTATTTGGTTTTTCTCAGACATGGAAAGTGCCATGCATTTATGATATAAGCTTGCTGTGTAATTAAATTGATAGACATTTTTATTCTGTAGCTTCAGGTTAGAAATTAGTGCAACTTGTGAAGAAACTGTAAATCTAGGTGTTATTAATATATATGTATTTGCCAGCATTGAGCCACATAATACATTAGACTGGGATCCCCCTAAAAACATAGTATCTGTTCTTGCTCTTCTCAGTTGTAGGTTCCTAGGTTTGGACAGTTATTTGGGTCTATTTGATAAACATTCTTCCCAGGGGTAGTTGTCTTGAGAGAATATATCACCACATGTTTGAGAACATGAAGCACCTGATTGCCTGACATACATGAGGTGGCTGCCCATATCTATCAATGTATGTTCCAATTTTAAAAAGAGAAAAAAGACAAATTAATGGCTGCTTAAGCTTGGCCATTATTCACAGTTAGCAATCAGGAAATAATTAAAACCTGGTGTTTATACTGGTGACCAAGGAGGAAATTGAATGAATTCCAAGTAATCAGAGTTTGTCATTGACTTAATTTCATGACACTCATTCCCTTTCTCATTCATAGGATTTGTGCTTATTTTTTAAAATTAAGAGTGAGTCAAATTATTTCTCAACTTAAAATTTAGGCCAAAAATTATGAATCATTTAATATCATTGGACATGCCTAAAATTAATGTAAATCCAGGAACGGATATAAATAACCTTTATAAATAGATGCTTAGGGGCCTGTAATAGTAAAAATCCATTTTGTGCAAATATAGAAATGGTGACTGTTATTCAAATGTTTTGTATTCTGATATATAAATTTTGCAGAAAAGTTTATTTTCTCAGTTCTCTTTGGAAGAATTGTCCTTAATCATTTTTTCATAAAATTGCCTTTTAAAATCAGTGCAGGGGATCCCTGGGTGGCTCAGCGATTTGGCGCCTGCCTTTCCAGAGGGAGAAGCAGGCTCCACACAGGGAGCCCGACGTGGGACTGGATCCCGGGTCTCCAGGATCTCGCCCCAGGCTGTAGGCGGCGCTAAAGCGCTGAGCCACCGGAGCTGCCCACGCCAATTGTTTTTACCTGTCCATCCCACCATATTCTCATGGGTTATAACTGAAGGGAAGACGGTGAATAACAAAAATGGACTAACATGTAATACAATAACGTAGACATCACTAGCTGTGTGACCTGCATGTTATGTGCCCACTCAGAGCCCACTTTCCTCAAGTTGAGGAGCAAGTACCAGGAGGGGTTTTGATGAGGATTTACATGAGTTAATTAATGTTGGAGCACCCAGTAAGGAACATCTAGCTAATGAATAAATGTGTGCCAGAGAAAAGATGTGAAGGAAGAAAGGATTGATGTTTACTGCCTCTATTTGCTACAAAGAAATTTAGCACACACACACACAGAATAAACATTAGCCAAAAAATAGGAACAGCTGTATTTAGAACTCTGCACCCTCTAAATCTTCTCCCAAAAGCCCTTCAAAGTTCTAAGGAAACCAACCAAACTGTTAATTGAATCTTCACTAAAGTACCCTTGTTAATTTTCATTAAAACTTGTTACATGTTAGAGTTAAAGATCTGGGCACAAGAGTAGTTAGTACAGTGCCCATTTTTATAACACATGGAAGCAATTTTCCTATAATAATAAAACTGTTACACATTTTTCACTACAGCCTTTTTGCATAGTGTTGATCATAACTAGTACTTTTTGACAGTGAATCCTTGAGAGGAAACCCAATTCCAACATTTTTTAATAATTTTTTTGTTAAGTGTTTTCAAGAAATTTTTTGAAACCACTATGTAGGCTTCTTGTACCAGTTTTGCTTAAAGCAGTCCCCTCCTGTGAGAGCACTGCTCCAGGTAGCTTCTTCCCAAGACACCTGGACATTTATTTCCCAGATGTCACCTCTAACTCTTCAGCTCTGTGGCCTGACTCTATAAGCTTTGCCCTCAGTCCACTCACATTAGAGTCAATGATAAAGCTGATCCATCACTTATGTATCACTTGGGAAGAATTGGCACAACTGATTGCAAACATTAAAATCTTTGGCAGCTGAAACATCAGAACAGCTAAGCTATAATGAAATTGGAAACCAAAATCATGAAAGAATGAAAAATAGTATGTCATAGTTTATGTGCCATCTTCCAACTAAAATGTTAAGACCTTTTCACCTTCCATGACAGGTGTGTTTCTGTATGTTTCATATAATATAACTTTGTAATAAGATTTTGCCAGTATAGTAGTATCAACTGAAGCAAACTTTTTTCATCAATTATCCTTTAGAAAATAAAAAATGAGCTGAAAGAGAGGGAAAGCTAACATTATCTACTTGCTTCCCCAAAGGTTATATATATATATATATATATATATATATATATATATATATATATATTTATTCCAGGTGGTGTACAAGATTAACCATAGGGATATAAGAAGAAGAAATTAGAACTTCTTTTTAATTTTATCTAATAGTTTATATTTCTACTTTTATCTGTTTAATGATGTACATAATTAGTAGAGATAGATACGTAATCATATATTGAGGGGAGTGCTGTTTAAAAGCAGATTTTATGAATGCATAATCAAAAAAATCCAAAGACTACTCCAGCAGACACTGAGACTCATTCTTTGCTCTGAAGTCATTTATCAGAAGAAAAACCCATATTAAAGGAAAAAATATTGTATATATCTTACACTTTTAAAAATACTTTTATATCAAGCTTCATATTCTGTTTGAAGAATGTAAACTATCGCATTATTTGAATAATGTAAACTACTTCTGTAAGTTTATTTATGTCCTTACATGTTATCCATATTAATATGTAGAGTAACTACAGAGGACAAGGTACAAGAGGGGTGTTTACTGATGTGCCTCTCATTGCTAGGGCATCATTCCTAAAGTGGTTTACACTTAACAGGAGTATTTTCTTGGCTGTTTCTTACTTTCATCATTGTGGTAATGAGCTATAATTAACTTTATTGAGATAATTATGCAATCATTTTAAGGGTTTATGTATACTATATGGAACTTGGATTGGGCTTGTAGAAATGAGGTAGTAAAAAGCTTCCTCATGAAAGTGTGATGTGAATTACTTTTGCCTGAGGCTAATCTTGAGAGAAACCTCTTCTGATGGTCTCCCATAAAGAAGTAATTGACCTTGGCTAGGTCCAAGGTAGAGTGTGTTTTACTAACTTTACTCCATTGTGAGGTGAGTTCTAATGTGTCAAAATAAAATTTGACAGGTAGAACAGAGTTTTAGCAAAATTGATATGTTAAAATATTAACAGAAATTAATTCAAAATTTATTTTCCTTTTAGTTCGCAAGAAGATGAAAGACCTATATCACCTTTCTATTTGAGGTATTTATTTGATTTTTGTTGTTCTATTACAGGGAATGGAGGAAGGGTAAGGCTCCTTTGAGTTTATTTCCCCATTTTAATAATTTTCAATGAATATTCTACAGTGTGGCCAAACTAAGCTTATTGGAACCCTTCACCATATTGTTCATGCTGTGTTTTTCTTATCTTTGGTTTAAGAAATCTTAAGACAAATTTAATAGAGCTAAAAAGATTACAGTAAGATATTTTGTTTTAAAATTCAGACATGTCTTAAAAAAATAAATAAAATAAAATTCAGACATGTCAAGGTAGCTATGTCAATTTCAGAAACTGCCTAATGATTAGGCTGTTAACCTACATTTTAAAAATTTTTATTCCATGCATATATGCAGGTAGGGGAGGGGTGTGAGCACAAAGTCTCAGCTATGTTAGATCATTTTCTAAGTAGTAGTAGAGTGTGAAACTAAGTATTCAGCAAGTTCACAGAGTTTAGGGTTATTTTCTAAAGCTTATAAAGTCGTAATAACAACTATTAAAACAGGTGAATTTATAGAATTTAAAGTAGATGTTAACGCTCTCCTCAATTTTGAAATCTACTTTTTTTTTTTAAAAAAAAGTTACACTTTTATTTTTATTTTTTTTAATTTTTTTTAATTTTTTATTTATTTATGATAGTTACAGATAGAGAGAGAGAGATGCAGAGACACAGGCAGAGGGAGAAGCAGGCTCCATGCACCGGGAGCCCGATGTGGGATTCGATTCCGGGTCTCTAGGATCGCGCCCCGGGCCAAAGGCAGGCGCCAAACCGCTGCGCCACCCAGGGATCCCTGAAATCTACTTTTTTAAAGAAATGTCAGGATATATGTTACATAGCTTGTTTTTGAATCTGATTTGTTGTAATAGTCTCAGAGTTAGATTTAGGCTTTAATTCAACCAACAGTAGTTCAGAAACATGTCATAGGACTTCAATCTTAGTCAAGTAACTGCTTTTCAGTACTGTTCTGCCCTTCAGCAACTCAAAAAATATTGCATAATCACGTTGTGGCAAAAGAGAGAACATTTGAGGTTTTAGTTTGAGACAACATGGTGGTCCATTTGATTCACTCTGGTTTCCTGCCAACCAAATCACCATATTCTGGTTTGTAGGTTACCTCAACTATACACATGAGGGTGTGGTTGCCGAGTTTATGGGGACTCTGGTCTTCATCATGTAAATACACACAGTAATATCAAACAAATGATTATCATACCTTAACAGAAAGTAAATTTTACACAGTACAGAAGACTGCAGCTCCAGATCATGCCTACAAATAAGAAGTATTCTCTGTCTTATTTTTATTCCTCTGGGTAATATCAGTCTATATTTTACATAGTATTGAATTTTATTTTTTTTAATACTTTTAAAAAGCAGATGGGAAAAATAGGTTCATAAGTCTTAAGGCCTTAAAAGATACATAATTATGTTTTCTCACGTGGTGATTTTTTCATTGTTTGGATTAATGTGGCTTTGAAAAAAAATTCTGTACTTGTAAAATGAAAGTTAAAGAATATAAAGAAAATGTATTTGCCATAACTCTTGGTAGAAGCTATTTGATATCTTAATGTTAAGAGTCATAAAAACTAAAATACTACAAAAGTAGGAAAAAAGTGAATATGTATACTAGCCCACATGTATAGGAGAGTTCATATTGCAGAAAAAGGACGTTACCAGCAGATACTCTTTGGAAATTTTAACTAAATGGAGCTATTTAATAAATGAGAAAATAATTATTATTTGTCCTGAAATTAAAATCTCAAATGTGGTTACTTTTTGTGAATAGCATTATAGGATAGTTTTAGAAATTGGTACAAGTTAATTTAACTTTTTATTATCTACTTGACATGAAGTAGGAGAATCTGTTAGTAAACCATGAACTATTTGGAGGGAGGTTTTTTTTTTTGGTTTTGTTCTCAAATAATTTACATGGCTGCTTTGAGATTAACTTTTCTTGGGTTATTCTAGCATACAGAATTCAAGTGGAAGAAAGAAAACATGATTCCTAACTATGATTAAAGTTCTTTAAGATTTTTGCGCTAGAAACATAATATGTCCACTGATAATTTAAATTTCAAATTAGTGCACTTTTATCACACTATCTCTGGTAAGAACAAATGAGTGTTTAAGTGTTTTAAATATATTTACATTTCTGTAGCTTCTTTGTCTTCCGTTCCTTTCTCTCCTACTTTCTTAAGATTCCCTTCCTATAATGCTCAGAAAGGGCAGTTACTGCTAGACTCATGAATTTCATAACGATTTGTCAACATGATGAAAAACTAAATTGGCCTTTTTAAAATCCAAAATAATATTTACTGTGCCTTTGAAAAATAAAAAGTGATTGGTGGTTGCAAAATGAGATCTTCCATGACTAGGAATATTGAATATTGAGTGCTGTGCATTAAGTTTTAAAATTGTTGACTGGCCAAGGTTTTTTTGTTTTGGGGGTTTTGGCTTTTCTGAGCAGGGATGGAGACCAAGAGGAAAGGTCCAAATGAGATGAGACACATCAGCTGAGATGGATACTCTCACAAAGTCAATCCAGCCACAGGCAGCCAGGCAGAGAGACTGGGGATGGGACAGCTAGCTGGTCAGTGGTGGAATATTCAGGGGTGGTATATTCTGAAAGCTCCAGCATGAGGTAGAATGGCAAAACTCAGTGGCTGCAAGTCTGAGAGTGGGCAGTCTTCGGGAAAACCAGATCAAAACAAAAGATAAGAGCAAGGCAGGGCTCCAGTGTCAGAGGAAGGAGAATAAATGATCCATAAGGAATTCAGATACATGAGATCAGATAAGCATCCAGCTATTGGAGTGGGGACAAGGTGCGTTATTTATAATGAAGACAAGAGTCTGTCTGGCGTAGAGGATAGAGATGGAGAGCATGCAGGGGACCTGCAATGCATTAGTGGGGATTCCAGAACCTTTCTATGGCTATAGGAAGGAAGGTGGGATGCAGGAACTGGGAGCCAGAGGCCATTTCAATTGTTACCTTGCTCTACTTCTCACTTTGTAGAATTTCAGTGTCTGTGATTATGATTCTCTGCTATAAACACTTGTGGCTGAACCACGTTAGTCTACTGTACATTTCAGTTGCCTCCAGTTTTTAGGATTGTTATTAATAGACATGCACTCATATATTCTCATTCTTGATAAAATGTGTTCTGTAATAAGAATTGTCTTCTGTAATTTCAGCACTTCTCCACCCTAGCCTAACTCACCAGAACCATTTGTCCTTTTTTTTTTTTTTTTAAAGGAAAGAAATAGGGATCCCTGGGTGGCGCAGTGGTTTAGCGCCTGCCTTTGGCCCAGGGCGCGATCCTGGAGACCCGGGATCGAATCCCACATCGGGCTCTCGGTGCATGGAGCCTGCTTCTCCCTCTGCCTATGTCTCTGCCTCTCTCTCTCTCTGTGTGACTATCATAAATAAATAAAAATAAAAAAAATGTTTAAAGGAAATAAATAGTAGCTACAAATCTGCACTTGCTGCGGTTTCCTGTGGCAGGATGACTGCAGCTACAGTAGCTCAAACAGTACGTGTCATTGTTCCCTAGACGCTCATTAGAGATTACCCACCCTGTTGAACTGATTAAGGAAATGAAGGGAAAGAACAAGTTATACCAAATCGTTGGCAAGATTGCCACAAAATAGATGAGAACCAGGATGCCTGGGTGGCTCAATGGTTGAGCACCTGCCTTCATCCCCAGGGCCTGATCCTGATGTCCCAGGACCAAGTACCAGCATGCATGGAGCCTGCTTCTCCCTCTGCCTGTGTTTCTGCCCCTCTCTCTCTGTGTCTTTCATGAATAAATAAATAAAATCTTAAAAAAAAAATAGACAAGAACCTGCAAACTTCAGGTTAAGAACATTCTTGGCAAGGATGTCCATACCCTGGGCTCTCATGGTCTCAGCTGGACTCCCAGAAGGTGCCCCTACCTCAGTTGCTCAGTTTAGCAGCTTACTATAGGCATTCTGTGCCACCTCTAGCCTGTTATTGTCTGAATTCTTTTGCCTGTCATCCAGTCCGATCTGGCTAGGATCTGTTGCTAGTTCTACTTTCATTTGTCTGTGTCTTCGGTATCTGCAAACGCAGATTTTTATTTCTTTGTGTATTCTCACTGGGATTGAGGCTCTTAATCTCTACTTTCTATTTCTCCATCGCTATCTACTCCCATCTCAGCTATACTACCTTCAGATCCCTTATGGCCAGATTCACGTCCTGTCTTGATCCCATCCCATCTTATCCTGTCCCATCTGACTTCTACTCTTGAATTCCTACTTAAAAAATTTCTGGATTATATATACAGTTTGTACACATATATGATACGTATAGCCTGTATACAAAGCCCATCTCTGCCTATGGTTTGTCAAAATCCTAAATGTGCTTCTGGGGCTACATACCTATCATCAGTCTTAGTCACTGGGCTCTAACCAGCTCACCTGACCTCTGAATAGTACTCCTTGCTCTAAACCTGCCTTCTAGCAACTGTGCTAATCTGCTTTTTCTTTCTCATTTTGTGCTCCATTGATATTCTGAAATTGATAGTCTTTATCAATTACAGCCCAAGTTTTAATACTCAGGGTGCAAAATGAAGCTAAATACCATTTTAGCAGATTTGGAATTGCTTAGGGTCAGTTTCAGTATTTATGTTTTCTAATTTTCCTGAATCAGGAACATCAAATAATTTATTTCTAAATTAGCTGTCTGAAATGCAAACTCATTCTTCAGTATTTTAATAATTTTATTCCTTGAAACCAGGGATCATTAATTTATGAAAGTCTTTTAACTATAGATTTACATTGAAGAAAAAATTAGCTTTGGATAAATTTAGATTAAAACATTACCTGACATTAGACGGGATCTGAAAACTATATCATGCCACCCCTATTACCTTTCCAAACAATTTGTGGTAGAATGTGTAGGGTTATGATTTTTTTGTCAACTTTATGAAATTTTAATAGTTTATTTTTCTTCTTAACTATATTGTAT